GGGGGGGATGTGGAGTTTGACGAGGAAAGGACAACAAAATGAACAGAGACATATGCTCAAACTCTGCACGAGGATGCAAGGTTGCATCAAATGAATATGAACCACCACAGAATTCAGTAAGGAAATCTGACGGCACCCCCTATTCATGACTCTTTTGTCATGCGTGGGGACCACACACTGCCATGGAACTACCGTCTTCCCCCGAAGCATAACGCACCCTGATAATGAATGTATGCAATCTATCTTTCCGGTCCGGTGCAGCCATAATGAGGGTGCGCTGTGTTCGGGGGAAGACAGTAGCGGGTGCCGATACTCGTCCGTGTTCGGGGGGAAGACGGTAGTGGGTGCGGATACTTGTCATATGGCGTTTGGTTGATTTCATAAGAGCCCCAGACAGAAGGAGCCATCATAATCCGTCCCAAGTCATGGGAACTGGGTCATATTATGTGAAACTTTCCTCATTTGCTTGCTGGTGATATACTACCAGGCGGACGCCCCCCAGATTGAGTGGCCACCTAGGCTACCAGAGTGGCCCGGGGTCACTTGCCCGGCCGGGCCAAAAAAATAAAAAAAATAAAAATAGAAATAAAATATTTTTATATTTGTTCGATTAATTTTTCGGCATAACATAGAGAGAGCATTTCCTCAACCAAGCGATCACAACGCAATCACGAGCGATCACAACGCAATCACGAGCGATCACAAAGCAATCACGAAGTCATGCACGTACAAAGTGCCATAACCGAGCTTCAAAGATAAAACAATGATTACAGCCCGAACAACGCGCACCGCCTTCATTCCACTACGCCCGAGTTCCCCCAAACGCTCCTCCAACAAAAGCGCTGACTATTCTCCGGTGCACAAGGCACCAAAAGGGAGTCCAACCGACTGTCTGCCAGTTTTTATCGCGACGCCTCAGTCAAACACTCGAGCCAAGGCAAGTCGAGCCCAGGCCCGCTACCGAAGTCAATGGGTCGAGACCAAGTTCACGCTAACCTACATCACACAAAGCAAACCAACAATGCACACAAAAGCAGAACAAAACCAGCCCAGCCACCTTCGACAGGTCACCTGTTCGAGACCGGTTCACCCCAATCTACGTCTACGGCAATATCGAACCTTCTGCCCTGGTCGACATCAAACTCCTCGTCAGTACTATCGAGCTTTCAATTCCACACTAATCCACGCGATGCAAACAAACAAGGCAAAAACAAGAACAACCAAAAACAAAAGCCACCCTCGGCAGGTCACCAGTTCGAGACCAGTTCGCCCCAATCTACTTCAGCAATATCGAGCCTTCTGCCCTGCATTACATAGGCTTTTTTTCGGATTTTTTGGATTTCGTTTTTTTTTTTTTTTTTTCTCTGCTGGGACATTCCTTGATCCTTGCACGGGCTGGCCACCCGGCACCCGGGCGGCCCGGCTGGTAGTCTGGATTCCGTACTTTTGGGCCTAAGTCCTCCTCTGTGCAAACACAGATTCGAACCGACGACCTCGGCCTCAAGAGCCAAGTCTCTTAACCACTACAGCCAGGGCACGGTGTTCAAAAGCGGAATCGTACCGGTCGTGATATCCACCCCACCCCTGCAAGGCTGTAGTTTCCAACTCAACACACACCACACACAACACGCACGGACAGGGCCACCCAAAAAACAAAAAGCCAAAACAATGAAAAAGAAGACGAGGAGAGAGAGCCACCTGCGTGAGTGTGTCGTTTCCAAAAAAAAAGAAAACAGAGGGCCACCCAAAAAGTTGGCAAAAACTGTTTTTAAAAAAGGAACTCCAAAACAGGGCACGCAACCAAAACAAAAAAAAAAATTACCCAATTAAAATAGGGTATGGTCTAGGCTACCAGATTGGCCCGGGACCACTTGCCCAGCCGGGCCAAAACAAAATAAAAAATAAATAAATTTAACATTAAATTTATTTCTTAATTTTATTTTTAATTTTAAATTTAGTAAGGAATTTAGATGTGTCCCTGGGGGCAAAAGTTGTTCAGTTTATTTTTCTGCATAACATAGTTTTTTGGGGGGATTTTTTTTCTTTTGTTTGAAAAGGCTTTATTCTTCTCTCATCTATCTCATTTTTCCTGCTAGTACTCATCTATCTCATTCTCTCACTACAGTCTTCCCCCAACTACAACGTACGGTCATTATAGCTGAATTTAGACTGAAAGATACACCAAATTCAGCTATAATGGCCGTACATCGTATTCGGGGGAAGACTGTAGTGTATGTGTACTACCGGAACAACCAACCAACCCGGATCTCTCCCCAGCCCACGGGGTACTAGGTGGGGACCACAGCAGTGGTGCGAGAGCAAGGCTGTTTTTGGGGGGGATATTTTGGATTTCTTTTTGTTTTCTTTTTCTTTGGCTCGGATCTTCCCTGGTCCTTGCGCGGCCCATCCGCCTGGGAAAACAGGGTGACCCGGGCGGCACGGCTGGTAGCCCAGGGTATGCTTTCAAAAATAAAAAGAAAAATGACGGGACGCTAAAGATACCAAAAAGAAAAGATTCCACTACAGCCAACCCCACCCAACCAAAAAAAAAATAATAATAATAACGGCGGGACCAAAAACAAAAAACAACACAAAAAAATACGTCTTCTCTACTTGGTTGGAAAGCTTGCATGTTCGTGAAGGAGCACAGGAAAGGAATTGTCTTCCAGAATCTTTTTTTGTTTTGGAGTATCTTGCCCTTTGCACAAACATTTCCATGGGAAACGGCGGCAGAGAAAACATGTCAAAAATAATAAAATATATATTAAAAAAGATGGAAAACAGAGAGAAAACTGACAGCCACGAAAACAATGAACCAAATGAAAAACAAAGAACGTTAAAAAAAAAAAAAAAAAAAAAAAAAAAAAAAAAAAAAAAAAAAAAAAAAAAAAAAAAAAAAAAAAAAAAAAANAAAAAAAAAAAAAAAAAAAAAAGCAGCGACCATGGAGCTAGCGTGAAGAACTTCCAAAAACAAGAGAGGAGGACAGAAAAACTTAACGCAAATCCCCCGTGCAACATTAAACCATATAAATAAAAATGAGTGCATCGCGATTGAAAAACTGTGCACTAGCAATTCCGCAGCGAAGAAGTTCTGCTAACCGAAGAAGAAAGACGAGGCGAGCTTCCGAGAGAAGGAGGAAAAAGGAAAAAAAAAAAGAAGAAAAAAAAAAAAACGACGAAACAATTTTTTTAGTTGGTGGGATTTAGTGGCAAAATTTTGAACCCAAACGAAGTTCCACTGGCAGTAGACGAAAAAATTTTATTCGAGTTTTCTCAAAACACAAGACTCCCAAGCACAAATGAAAAAAGCCCACTGCCAATCTCTTCTCCTCTTCTCCACTCAAGCGAGCCCTCGTCCATTCCGTCCACACAAAGAATAAAATCCCTCTCTCTCCGAATGCCAACTCTCATCTCAAACCCCCCCTGTTCTCCCATTCGTCTATTTTACCTCTTCCTCTTTCTTCACTCCTCCTCCTCGCATCCATCTCCTCTTTAGATTAGAGCAGAGGACAAGATAACACAAGTGCCAAAAGGGTTCAAGATGAGACCGGCGTCAAATTCCATTTAATCATATATACTCTTGTCTGCTTAGTCAGTCCGGCACCCAAAAAGATTGCCCCGACAAGCGGAGATTGCTCGGCGGGAGGGTGGCTGATCGACCTCGACAATGATCTATAGACACTCAACACAAAGGATGGTGAAGGATGGTGCCATGGACCTGGAGGAGGGGCGGCAGGGGGAGGCCCGGGAGGGGGGAGGGGGGAGGGGGGAGGGGGGGGGAATAAATCCACCAGATATTACAGTTCAAAAGTGCAAGTCGACTAGTGAAAAGAATGATGAGAGCTCTCTTCTCTCCATGACATGAAAAACGTTAAAAAAAAAAAAAAAAGACAGTGAATTCCAACTTTCCGAGTGACGCTAAGTTCCAAAGCCAATGCTTTGCGAGAAAAAGATGGGAAAAAAATTTGCTTTCTTCTGTACAAATGGTTCACATTTATACCAAAATCCGTAAATAGGGAAAAGAATACACAGTTAAGAAAAGAAACGGTGCCAGTGGGTGGAGTCGACACTGCCCGCGAATCTTTGGTGACCAAGAATAGCAAATCTCACAACGCTGACAAAAGTGAATCCTCAAGAAAGATTTCCCGCACGCGCACGAGCGAACGAGCGAACAAGCGAGCGAGCGAGCGAGAGAGAGAGAGAGAGAGTCACCCCTTGCCACGTCTCTTCAAATCAACACAGAGAGAGAGAGAGAGAGTCACCCCTTGCCACGTCTCTTCAAATCGACACAAGACTATAAGATCTAGATGATAGAAGCAATGCAATTGGGAAGAACAAACACGTTCCTCTGCATCTGTGTGTGCGTGTGTGTGCTATGCATGCACCAAGCCAAGCACAGGGCGTGTTGTGTGTGTTATGTGTGTGTTATGTGTGTGCTCCGTATACGCTGTACGCATGTTCTGTCCTTGTTGTATGTGTTCCAAGGTTGTGCATGTGTGTGTGTGTGTGTGTGTGTGAGAGAGAGAGAGAGAGAGGAATGGAGTCCACAGAAAAATCTCAAAGCTAATCGGGGGAAAGCCTATAACTGAACTACTCTCTGCAAGTTGCACTGTCACAGCGGGAATCAAACGTCAGCAAACTTGCATGATGTGCGAACTAAACCCGTGTAGCAAGCCGTCTGCGGCGGGCACACAGCTGCACACACAAGTCGATGCACAGAGGCAATTGTGAACTTGTGCCCATCCTATCCTCGACAGATCCCCACCGAGAATAATAATGTGCCAGGCAAGGTCACCGCCTCTACGGTTTCCAGGCCTCAAGCGTCAACTGCATGGCGTGCAACAACGGACCTCGCTCCACTACTCGACACTCTGCATGCATTTGATCGCCTTGCTCCACCAGGTGCATTCATTGAAGTCCAACATTCTGAACGTATCTGGACGGTTATGAGCTCCAGACAGATACACATTTCCAGTGTTGTGCAGAGGCGCGAGGCCCCATGCGCGATAATATACAATAATGTACGATAGACTACCTCACTAACCCGCTGCGTGCAATTGTTGCGCAGCGCCCGTGGGGGTATCAAGGCACATAACCCTCGAGCGTTGACATCCAATCCTAGTGCGCTTTGCAGTTGATGTCAACATGAACTGATAAACTACAGACCTGAGTTCAAATCCAGATGACGATGGAACTTGACGAGTAAAAAAACCAAATATTTCTGAATTGCCCGGGGTCCCTCAGCTCAATGATGATATCTCAAGGCCGCCAACCTTTTCAAACACACACACACACACACACACACACACACACACACACACCGAGTCCCAGAGACTGAATGATGCCTTCCTGCGCTCTCCACCCTCAACTGTGTGTGCACGCTCATTCTGTTGGCGGCAAAAGTGTGCAAATGCAATACAGCATTTCCGAAAGCACAGCGCTGTTGAAGAATAACAGCATTTGCATTCACCTTCCTGGTGCATACACAGACAGCTGCAAAGCACGTGCAAACAAATTTGCGCACAGGTTAGGCTAGCTATCACCCAGCGTCCAACTCCCGCACACCTAGGATGCACATGGCGCAACACATGCACGACGCACGAATAGGAAACCCATTATGTTGGAAAGCAAAAAGACACCCCCAAACTGCCATCACACCCCCATGGAACTCTGGAAGCCATGGATGCATATACACACGCACACGCATGCACATGAAAGACACCCCCAACACTGCCATCACACCCCCCAACCGCCATGCCAGACTCTGATTACCTGGCAAATTGGTAGATAGACCTCTCTCTCTCTCTCTCACACACACACACACACACACACACACACACACATGCACACGGAGATGAGACGTGCATGCGCAGGCGATCGCCCTTGTCGGAGGGCAAGCGCACATGCTTAATCAAGTCTGCAACACTAGTCAAGGCAGTGTGAAGAGGTTTAAACACGCGCACAATCAGGTGCAAAGAGGCCTCTTCAGAGAGACCTCTTCCTCTGTAAACCTCTCATCCGAGGTTCAAACACAGGGTTGAGTCGGAGACTTCCAAAAACCTCCATACCTACTAGAGGTCAAAGGAACGCAGCCGAGGAGACTAGAAGCTCAAAACCCCACGAGCACATGAGCGAGCTTTTCCTCTTCCGTTCGGCGACACTCATCAGAGACTCTTCCCTATGTTTGCCCCCCCCAGGTGATCTTCCGCGGGTCCTCGAACCTCCTTGTTGGGAGGACCCAACACAAGGTTTTCAAAGGCGTTCAGTGAGAGAAAGGCTACCGAAAGGCCCGAGAAGATCCTTGGAGATAAGGGATCCGCACGCCGGATGTCGGATCCCAATGGGGTCACTCTCACATATCTGATGGCGATTACAACCAGATCCGGATGCATCTGACGGTAATCACGTCCAGAGAGATGACGAGACGATGCACGGAGTACTTGAGAGCAGGAAGGGAGACGATCGCCATGGCCACTTGATGGAATTCGGGAGAGTAGATTTCAGTGGCCACCTCGTCTACTTCAGCAGGAAGGTTTGCTCTCTCGAGACCAGCAGGTTCGTAGAGTGGGCCGCACACAGCACAAAGCGCCAAATGTCAAGGAGGAGATAGCCCAGCAGGTATAAAGGACGCACACTTCGCGCCACCACGGCCGCGCAAATCACCACACGCCAAGAGGAAGATAACCCAGCAGGTACAAAGGACGGACGCTTCACACCGGCTCCGGCAGACGGACGCTCTGTGCTGCCACTGACGTCTGCCTGTTCAGAATGTTAAGGTGTGTGAAGTGCAACGACGACAACGGAGAGAGAATCCGGGAAAATAATGACGGAAGCACCACTGCCCGCCAAATCGAATGTTCGGAGAAACATAAATGACAGATTCGGATTCAGAACAAAAAAAAAAAAAAAAAAAAAAAGACGACAAACAGATGAGAGAAAAGAAAAAGAGGAGTAAAATCGATGGGGGTTTTAAAACCCCTCAAAGAATGCTCAATCATGCAAAACCAGCCAACCCTCGAAGACATCACCTACCCTAGTGTATCAAATAGAACAAAGGGTATCAACACGTCCTCACGCGCAAAACACTTCTTTGCCGCTTTTCCCTGAAGACCATGAAGAAAATTTCTGTTCATGCCAAGAGAACACGACAACAGCGAGTCCACACAAGCAGACGACAACCAACAGCGCATATCCGAGGGTCAGGACTCCCAATCACAAAAGTCAACGGCACAGAGACGGAAAAAAAAAAAAAAAAAAAAAAAAAAGCAAGAGCATGACCGCTGCTCGTTACCACCATCACAAAAGTCAACTGGGCGGAGGGAAAAAAAAAAAAAAAAAGCAAGCCATGAGCATCACCTGTGCATATTCAAGCACAACGAAAGAATGAGAGCAGCGAGTTCCGTCCAGATTCATTTAGACTAGGATTTAAATTCACTCTCCGGCGGATCAACTCCGTTTTCTTGATTCAGAGGGAGAACCGTCCAGACAATGCATCGAATCTCCACCGGACGAGGTCACTTGCTGGCGGCGGCTGAAACTAGTAGGGGATGGCCAGGCGTCTTCGCTCTCGGTCGGGCGTAAATTCTTTCTGTTTGAGAAGCGGGAGGCGACACCATAGCTTGCTATGGTTATATGGACTATGACCATGTTATTCTGTGCATGGGCAGAAAAAAAGGAACTGACTTCAGGACAGGACTGCACTCTGCCTGAGCAGTCAGAATCCGGCCTTTCCTTCCATTTCGGTGGTGGATCACCCAGGAGCGTTTGGGGGGTATAAAGTTAATCTACACAATGACTACAGGGGTTTAAAAGGGCAAATCTTACATCATTTCTCCTCATTTATTTTTATCTTAAACTTTATATATAAAGAATTTCGAGGGGACCCTCAGCCAAAAAAACGTTCGTACGTTAAAAAGGCGCTCCACGCAGGCACTTGACGTATGCTTTTTTTTATTTTTATTTTTTATGCTGCTCTAGGAATGCAGTCTCCGCCCGCACATCCAAATTCTGTGGAAGGCCATCCGAGTTCGCCTTGTGATTTTCTACGAGTAGAACCCCCTCCGCAGGCACCTAGGCACTGACTGGATGAACATGGCTGTGGTCTGGGTGAGGTACATCCAACAACGGGAAAGAGGGCCGATTGTGTTCTCCATCCTTTCCCTTCACGCTACCTCTTCCTGCACCAGTGTGACTTGGCGCATTACACCAAACGTCTACCTTTTCAACGTGGCCTGCCATCGGGGTCGTGGTGTGCCTCCCTCGTCGTATCCACAACTTTTCTTCGAATTTCTTCTCCCGCAAACTCTTGCAAAAGGGAAAATGCATTTGCGCGCACCTCTTGAGGTGCCCGCAAATTGCATACTCTCCTCCCTCGTTGTATCCACAACTTTTCTTCGAATTTCTTTTCCCGCAAACTCTTGCAAAAGCGAGAATGCATTTGAGCGCACCTCTTGAGGTGCCCGCAAATTGCATACCCTCCCCCCGCCCAAGGCAGGCTGGAGATTTTGCGTACCCATTTGCGTCCTCTTTTTTTCGCAACCCCGTACTATCGCAGAATCTGTGTGCAGTTTGCTACCAGTGTGAGTATGGCCTGACGACCCTCAATCCCTTTCATCATTTGCATGCCTGCCCTTTATGTTCTCCCTCCTTCACGTTCTTGAAGGGATGATGGAGAGTTGGTGGAGCAGAGCCATGGGCCCTCGCTCCACGACTCGGCATCCCGATTCGCTCAACATAGGGTGAGTGGAGGAGAGGCCCACACTCTCCAAAAACAGAGAACGGAGAATGGCAGAGCGATACCCAACGTGTATCTTATCTTCTTATTTTAAACCATCGCTGCGTGTCACAACCAAGCAGATCCGACGTGGCCATGCTTGCGCCACAACCTGCGGAATCCAAATGGAGAGCGGCCGACCAAGAACATTAAGGCCACTCTGACACGTACATGTGTTTTGTAGAAAGCGTGTAGTCCTTCGGGACATCCGTTAAAATTGGAACAATACAGAGAAGATTAGCATGGCCCCTGCGTAAGGACGACACGTATAAATCGAGAAATGGTCCAAATAAAAAAAAAAAAAAAATAAAAAAAAATCAGGCAATCAACCAATCAATGGTCAGGAATGTGTTTCTGTCGTAATCCTGTCTCTTATACACATCTAGATGTGTATAGGCCCCCTCTTCTTCCCTCTCCAAATTTTCATTGTCTCTTGCAAAAAGGTCGAAGAGGCTTTTTTTTTGTATTTCCATGAATTGATGTGGATTGTTTATGACCGGAGAGGTCCGTCCCTCTCCGGACCTTCGTCATTTTGGCCCGATTTTTGGAATTCCATCTTTTTGGAATTCAAGAAATACATGGGAATTACGCACGCCTTAGCAAGCGCGCTGGGAATTTGGCTCGTCGGTTAGGAATTCCGGAATACGCGGGACCTGACATGTTCTTTCTTCTGCATGAATGTTCTCGACTTCATCTTGGAAAACTCTAGGAATTTTCGTGTGAATCTGACTAGGCATAGGACTTTTTCTCGCGTTCACTTTACGCGCGGATATGGTATTTTTCAATTTTGAATCAGCGTAGGACTCTGAACAAGTTGTAACTGTTTCGGTGCCGTTTTTGCCTCTGCGCCGGCGCCATGCATGCGAACTTCCCCTTCCCTCCCCGCTTCCCTCATTACCTTCGACACTCTCTTCTTCGCGCTCACGCTCCTCTCTCTGTAATCGTTTTTTATCTCTCTCTTGCCTCGCGCACCTCTTCTCTTTCTTGATCATCTGAATATTGGTCTCGTTTCCCGCTATCCTTCACGCCCTTCTTCTCCCCGCTCTAATTCTTGCGTCGGAATACCCTGTCGATTTCCTCCTCCTCGCCTCTAGCCAAGGAGACGCGCCGTATAAGAAGGAAATCCCTATTTCACGACGATTTTGATTGGCTATGACCGGGCTTCGAAGGATCGACATGGCTTTCCTCGGGTGATTACCCCCGAGCTTTCCCTTACCCCTCCCCACCTCGGTCTCAATCCTCCCTAGCATCTACATCCTTCTCTGCAACTGTAAATTCCGCAAGCGTGCCCAAAAATCTCTCTCTCAACTTATCAGCTAACTTCCGGAAAGTAGTGGCTAGATGGTACGCGTGAAAGTGCGGGTCGAAAAGTTCTAACGGGCTGACTATAGTCTTGTCGGCTGTGCGCTGGATCGCCCGACGGACTGTGGGATCCGACCAAGACCGTGCAGAGACTGAGTCGGCGGGGTGATAATCGCTATGGTGGGAGTAGCACGTGATGACAGGGATCGCCAGTGCCTGCGTGAGGATCGTAATCGGAAGTTGAGTGAATGTAAGGCCTGGTTCATGGCGGATGGGCCTCTTTTGTCTCAAGTCTAGCCCTCAAGTGTGAGTTCCGTTCACCCGACATTTTAGCCGAAATTTCTCGTCAAGTTCACCGAACTTTCTTGTGTAATTGTCTTCTTCTTCCTTCTCTCTTCTGATCTACGTCTCTCCTCCCCATCACGTTCCTTCTGTTATGTTCCTGCTATAATGGATGGACTATGGTGATTTCTTTCCGCTCACTTTGGTATATGCATGAAATGGATTATGTCTGATGAACTTGTGCAAGCATGACGGGGATGTTGATTGATTGACCTGATGAAACATAGGGTTGGATCGAGTTGTGCGATTGAATGAATGATGCATGATTAGGGAAAGATTTTGCGCTTTGTCCTTTTTGCCATGTGGACCGACTGCCCCAATCCGACTGGGCGCCAACTTCCCGTGCCCCCACCGCGCCCCTTCCCATACAAGGAGGAAAGGACACGTGTATGTGAATGGGATGTATGAGAAGTCGTCGCTAAGATCTGCGGGCGCTATTACTTTCCACCCGAGACCCAGTGCTCCGGATTCGTCACTCCGGGATTCGTCATTGTCGATACACACTTTCCGCCTTATTCTCTGTTGTTGTCGTTTAATGAGTTGATCGTCATCCCGAGGTCGGCAGTGGTGCCTCATTGGCCTAACACTCTATGCAGCGATTGTCGCCGCACTGAGCGCTACTGAGCCAAGGGCTTCCATTACCGCACACATGGCGAGGACGAACACAATCTCTCCACTCGACTAAGGCCCTCCACATCGGATTCGGAGTTGTGTAGTGAACGCCGACGGGACCTCGTTCGAAAACGCGATACTAGGTATGTACCCTTCCCCTTTCATTCGAAACGTAGCCGAACGGCTCTCTGGGAAGTACAGCGATACTTTTTGGATTGAATTTCCCATCACCGTGAGTCCCGCGCGCGCCTTTTCCTCTGTCCTCCACCCGTGCGGCGACGGATCCCTTCTCGCTGAAGTCGGACCAACGCGGGGGGATTTCAGTTTTGTACATGTCCCCACACTCAATTTTCCCCAAAATCCTTGGCACACCCCATCTTTGCTGTTCTTCCTGGGCCTCTCCGCAAACCAAAACACTCCAACCGGAAAGCGGCACAGGGCGTGAGGTTGAGCGTCACATGGCAACACTTGTGAGGGACACACAAGGGAGGCGCATTTCTTTCTTTCTTTCTTTCTTTCTTTCTTTCTTTGAAAGTCTTGCTTGCTTGCTTGCCTCCTCCTCCTCTTCTTCTTCTTCTTTTTTGTTTGGGCAAACTACGTCCGAGTCACAAAAACGAGTTATAATTGCACTACGGGCCAAGACACAGTTTCGAATTGCAGTTTGGGCAATGTATAAAACCCAGCTTTCTGGCCAGGTAGGGTGCCTGAAGTGCAATTCCAAACGGTATGGTGTCATAACTCGTTTTTGTGACTCTACTGAAGTTACCCCGAAAGCTCTTATCGAGGTGAGCAGGAATGGTGGTATGATGAGCACACACTCCTACTCACTTCAAGTTGATCGCGACTCCAGTCTCTTGGTGGGGAGAATCACCTCCCTCAACATAAGTCTAGATAAAACATGATGCTGATGAAGTTGATGGGGTGGACAGGCCACCTCTTCAGTCCTAATGGGACCGGCTGATACAACGTTACAACCTAGCAGCTCCATCCCAAACGCATCCCTCTACTTCCCTACCAAACCACTGTAGCTCCACCGAGGCTAACGCTGAAGGTGGGAAAGCCTGCAGAATCTTTTTTTTTTTTTTTTTTTTGACAA